GTGAACCAGCAGATGAAAGATCTCTCTTAGCAACTCTGCCTTTTAGATAAGTAAATATTCTGGGGCCAGCACTGTGGTGCAGCAAGTAAAGCAGCTGATTGCATATGGACACCAATTCAAGTCCTGGCTGCTCCACTCCCAATCCACCTCCCTCTTGTGTCTCAGAAAGTACTGGAATATGGCTCAAGTCCCTGGGACCCTGCCACCCACATAGGAGACCTGGAAGAAGCTCTGCTACTTTCCCAGGGACATTAGCAGGGATCTGGATCAGAAGTGGAGCAGCCGGAACTCAAACCAGCACCCATATGGGATGCTGGACTGCAGCACTGGCTCCTACTACTCATTTTTTTTTTTTTGACAGGCAGAGTTAGACAGTGAGAGAGAGACAGAGGCAGAGACAGAGAGAAAGGTCTTCCTTTTCCGTTGGTTCACCCCCCAAATGGCCACTACGGCCAGCGCTGTGCCAATCCGAAGCCAGGAGCCAGGTGCTTCTCCTGGTCTCCCATGCCGGTGCAGGGCCCAAGCACTTGGGCCATCCTCCACTGCCTTCCCGGGCCACAGCAGAGAGCTGGACTGGAAGAGGAACAACTGGGACAGAATCTGGCGCCCCAACCAGGACTAGAACCTGGAGTGCTGGTGCCGCAGGTGGAGGGTTAGCCTAGTGAGCCGCAGCGCCGGCCCTACTACTCATTTTTTAACTCTCTCTCTCTTTCTCTCTCTTTTTAAAGATGTATTTATTTATTTGAAAGGCAGAGTTACAAAGAGGCAGAGGCAGAGAGAGAGAAAGAGGTCTTCCATCCACTGGTTCACTGCAATGGCTGGAGCTCCACCAAACCAAAGCTTCTTCCAGGTCTCCCAAATGGGTGCAGTGGCCCAAGAAGCTGGGCCATCCTCTATTGCTTTCCCAGGCCATAGCAGAGAGATAGATCAGAAGTGGAGCAGCCAGGACATGAACCGGCACACATATGGGATGCTGGCACTGCAGACAGAGGCACTATGCCACAGTGCCGGCCCCTTCACTCTCTCTTATAAGCACCAATTTTTTTTTTTTTTGACAGGCAGAGTGGACAGTGAGAGAGAGAGACAGAGAGAAAGGCCTTCCTTTGCCATTGGTTCACCCTCCAATGGCCACCGCGGCCGGCGTGCTGTGGCTGGCGCACCGCGCTGATCCAAAGCCAGGAGCCAGGTGCTTCTCCTGGTCTCCCATGGGGTGCAGGGCCCAAGCACTTGGACCATCCTCCACTGCACTCACGGGCCATAGCAGAGAGCTGGCCTGGAAGAGGGGCAACCGGGACAGAATCCGGCGCCCCGACCAGGACTAGAACCTGGTGTGCCGGCGCCACTAGGCAGAGAATTAGCCTAGTGAGCCGCGGCGCCGGCAATAAGCACCAATTTTTATTTTATTTTTTTTTTTTTGACAGGCAGAGTGGACAGTGAGAGAGAGAGAGACAGAGAGAAAGGTCTTCCTTTGCCGTTGGTTCACCCTCCAATGGCCGCCGCAGCCGGCGCGCTGTGGCCGGCGCACTGTGCTGATCCGATGGCAGGAGCCAGGAGCCAGGTGCCTCTCCTGGTCTCCCATGGGGTGCAGGGCCCAAGCACCTGGGCCATCCTCCACTGCACTCACGGGCCATAGCAGAGAGCTGGCCTGGAAGAGGGGCAACCGGGACAGAATCCGGCGCCCCGACCAGGACTAGAACCCAGTGTGCCGGCGCCGCTAGGCGGAGGATTAGCCTAGTGAGCCGCGGCGCCGGCCAATAAGCACCAAATTTTAACAGCTAAGTCAATTTTGGAGGGAAGAAACACCATCAAGAACTTCCCTCTGAAATGAAATAATGATGCTCACTCCTCTAAACATCCAAATGGAAGGTCTATGAAAACCAAAATAAAATTTAAGATAAAGCCCACAGAGAAATTAAAAGTAACAAGAATCACATTCTATGGGTCAGTGCACTTCGAAGTCATCAGTTTGCTGTCTAATCATCCATCAGCTGACTTTCAAAAAAGTAACACCCTGGGGCAAGCACTGTGGCGCAGCAGGTAAAGTCACCACCCGCAGTGCCGGCATCCCATATGGGCGCCAATTCAAGACCCGGCTGCTTCACTTCCAATCCAGCTCTCTGCTGTGGCCTGGGAAAGCAGTGGAAGATGGTCCAAGTCCTTGGGCCCCTACACCTGTGCAGGAGACCCAGAAGAAGCTCTAGCTCCTGGCTTTGGATTAGCGCAGCTCCGGCCAACTGGGGAGTGAACCAGCGGATGGAAGACCTTTCTCTGCCTCTCCTTCTCTCTCTGTGTGTAACTCTGACTTGCAAATAAATAAATAAATCTTTTTAAAAAATAGCTCCTTAGCTCATCAAAATATACATTTTCCATTGTTTTTTAAATTAAAAATAAGTTTAAAAAAGAAAACTTGAAGGAATCCATAATTAATTGCCTGATTCGTTCAATGGCACATATAAGATTTTTATTTGTTTATTTGACAGGTAGAGTTACAGACAGTGAGAGAGAGACAGAGAGAAAGGTCTTCCTTCTGTTGGTTCACTCCCCTAATGGCTGCCACGGCCGGAGCTACGCTACGCTGATCCGAAGCCAGGGGCCAGCAGCTTTTTTCCTGGTCTCCCATGCGGGTGCAGGGGCCCAAGCACTTGGGCCATCCTCCACTGCTTTCCTGGGACCTCAGCAGAGAGCTGGACTGGAAGAGGAGCAGCCCATATGGGATGCCAGCACCGCAGGCAGAGGATTAACTTAGTGCGCCACCACACAGGCCCCTCAATGGCACATATAGTGTGTGGCCATCAAGAAGGCTGGTTGCAGCACACATGATTAGGGGAATTTATCATCTTCAAGTTTTCGCTTTCTTCCAAACAGTGTAAAATACTCACAATTCCAAGTATGAAGGGACACAGACCATCTCTTTTGAGAATTCCTTAGGACAATATGGGTGCCTGAGCTGTTTGTTCTTCATAGAGTGACAGGGCTTCCGTCAAACTGACAGTTCTCTGTGTAAAGTATTTCTCATCCTGCTTCGATACTTTCATCAAGAGGTCAAGAATCAGCCTGAGAAACTCCCATGTGGAGTCTCCTGGAGATGTGGGGATTGGAATGGCTATCAAATCATTAATCACGTAATCAAATTCTCTCTCTTCTCTGGCACACCTCCAGTACTGGAATACAGTCAGAATCTGATATCAGTCTCCGTTAAGACTGAGACATCACCACACATTTTTCTCACGTATTTTACATCCATCAATCAGCATTTGGTCACATAATATGCCTCCATCTCCACCTCCCAGAATCAGTGCATCTCTGCCAGTGTAATCTTCCTTGCCGCTGCCCACAATGGCCCGGGTATATGCCAAATCACCCTGATTAACATCCAAATTAACATCACCACTGAGGATGCAAATGTTTCCAAATTGTTCTCAGTGTAGATTTTTTTTTTTTTTTGACAGGCAGAGTGGACAGTGAGAGAGAGAGAGACAGAGAGAAAGGTCTTCCTTTTGCCGTTGGTTCACCCTCCAATGGCCGCCGCGGCTGGCTGGCGCACCGCGCTGATCCGATGGCAGGAGCCAGGTACTTATCCTGGTCTCCCATGGGGTGCAGGGCCCAAACACTTGGGCCATCCTCCACTGTACTCCCTGGCCACAGCAGAGAGCTGGCCTGGAAGAGGGGCAACCGGGACAGAATCCGGCGCCCCGACCGGGACTAGAACCCGGTGTGCCAGCGCTGCTAGGCGGAGGATTAGCCTAGTGAGCCGCGGCGCCGGCCCAGTGTAGAATTTTAATGTTCAGAACAAGTCTTCATCATACACTTCTATGTCCTTCTCAACCAGGCACCCATCAGCAGTGGGTCAGTATCTGTCAACGGCCCCTCCTCACCCAATACTGTCCTGACTCAATTCTTTCACTCTTTCTTCTACTTTGTTCAAAAGACTATCAATCTCTTCTTTGCCCTGTGCATCACTGTTGTAACTCTGAAGGTCTAGCAACACCATGTGGATAAATTCTCAAAATGGTAAAGCTGCCATTTTTGTTTGTGTAGGTTGCTAAACAGCCATGGTCCTGCCAGGTATGCACTGATTCTACCATTCCTTGCTCCTGGAAAATGAATTGGAGGCCTTTTGGAATGGTCTCATCATTAGTTTTGGCACTGAGCATGAATTGAGCACACTATGCTATGCTGCTGCTATAGTGAGTCAAGGCAGAGTTGTGGGAGGTGGGGGTTGGGGGAGGGAAGAGGGGGGGAACCACCATGTGTCAGGCTATGGCCTGTGGCCAGCAAGGAATGCACTGTGCAGGGGAAGCCAGTGCTCTTTCTATTAAAGGACAATTTTTCTCAAAAAATATGGAAACAACCCATCCTCCCAACAGTTAGAGACTTTTTAAAACAAATCTACTCAAAACACTTTTTCTTAGCATGCTCTATAAATAGCTCACAAATTGTCTTTTAAGAATAATTTTCTTTAAAGTCTGCTTTCCTTATAACAAAAGAAAAACCTCCAAAGAATTCAATTAAGCACCTTTTTAGAAATACAATACGGTTTTTGGAGCAGAGGCAGACAATGAGTTCTTAGCCTTCTATGTGGCTTCTCCAGTCACAGATTTCTCCACCACCAATAACTATAAAATGTCTATAGCTCATTCATTATAAAAACAAAAACCATCCCAATAACAATTAATTGTTGGCAATCCGTCTGGTTTGGCAGGAGGGATGTTGAAACGGGCTCTTTTTGATGAAACAGGCCTTTCCTACAGGCCAGGCCTCCAATGGCCAGGTTTGTGTTCCGTGACCCTACACTGGTCTCTGTTGATTGGACTACAGCTGGTTCTCCAGAGTCTTGGCTAGTCTCTTGACTGAGGGAATTCTAATTCTGAGAGCTTGGGACGGCCCTTTCCTGCCTTACACATAGACTGGAAAGAGGCACAGCCAGTCTGCACAGAGTACTCATTGAAGCAAGTACACCAAGAAGTTGACCTACTTCTTAATGGCTTTCCAGTTCTTACCTCAAGTCCCTTCCTGAGGCCCAGTGGAATCCACCTGTACCCTTAGGGAAGAGAGAAAAGCTAAATAAATCCCAAGCCTTAATTAAAAAGTGAAAGAAGAGGGGCTGGTGTTGTGGCACAATGGGTTAAGCTGCCATCTGCAGTGCCAGTATCCCATGTGGGCAAGGTTTGAGTCCCGGCTGCTCTGCTTCTGATCCAGCTCCCCACTAATGTGCCTGGAAAGCAGTGGAGGATGGCCCAAGTGCATGGGCCCCTGCCAGCCACGTGGGAGACCCCATTTGGGGAGTGAACCAGAGGATGAAAGATCTCTCTCGCCTTCTCTCTTTATATAACTCTGGACTTTCAAATGAATAAATAAATCTCTTAAAAAAAAAAAAAAGTGAAAGAAAAGAGCAGAGAGTCATTCTCAGATTTAGAGAGCACTGCCACCTGTAGTCCATCCCAGTGGCCTCACATCCTATAGACATAGGAGGCTCAATCACCTGCATATCTCTGCTCCACTGTCGCCCCTGACTGGCTGATATTCCCTTCTTCTATCTACTCAAGCCAACTGCCATCACCCATTAATGCCCAGCATAAGGGACCTTTCTTGCCATCTGTCCCTCTCAACTAAACTTCCAGAGTGCAGAGAACTCCAATTGGAATAGTCCTTAAAGAAAATATCCACCTGGGTCATGCCTCTTTGTCAAAGCTCTTACTTAGAACATGTTCCATGTTGAGTATTCTTGAGATGATAATTCTACAAAGCGCAGTCAAGACGGAATTGCAAAGAAGTTCCATCCTCCTGTGAATGAGCCAGTCCCAGCAATCTGGAGAAACCAAGGTGAGGAAGCGGTTTAGCATCACACTAACACAAAAGTTACCTACCCACCAAGGCACACTCACAAAAAGACATTTTTCTTTTATGGAGATTTCATATTTCCCACCACAGTATCTTTGTAATCCACACCCAATAGCAACAGAATGGGAGAGGGGGAGAGGAGGGGAGGGGAAAGAGAGAGAGAGGGAAATATGAGTTAGCAGTGCTCTGTATTATCAGCAGGTAAACCCAGAAATGATCATCTTAGGGGAGCAGCAGGGGAAATGCCATGACTCCTTACAAGCCATGTGCCGACATCACAGTATGACCATCTGCATGATCGCTGTCAGAGTCCAAAAAAGTCAAACCAGCCTGAACACTGAGTGCTTCCCAGAACACTTGGCAAAGTAGGGTTTCTGTATTCAGCTCAGGATGCTACCAGTGGCTGGCGGAGAACCCAAACCCCTTCCCCCGCACCCTGCCTGGTTCTAGCACCTGCAGGGTTCCTCACTATTCTGAGGCTCTCAGTTACCAGTAGTCAAGACATAAAGCTGGATAGCCCTGACCTCTCTGCTGGGAGAACCAGCTTCCCAAAGAAAAAGAGATTAAAATGGATTAACAAAGCCTGGGATATGGAATATTTGAAATACACACAGAAGCTCGATGTATTTCCTGTATACTGCTGAATCAGCCTTTAGGCTTGCTTCTTTTAACTATCTCACCATCTTCCCGGTCTTCTAGAATCATTACTTTCAATCATCCTAGATTCCTCTCCCTTTGCCCCAGAGCCAATCAGTTGCTGAGACCTGTGCACTTTATCCCCCCAGTATCTATTGTACAGCCCTTTCTCTCTCCCAGCTATTCTCCTGGAACAAGGAAACTTTGGGTTTAGGCAGAGCTGCTGTGTAGTAGCTGTGCCTTTTTTCCTTTGAGCATCAGTATTCTGATGAGAAGAATGAGAATGACACCACTTTCTAGTCTTGCTGTGAGGATGGAGAGGACATTTGTGAAAACGCCTGGTACGGGACTTGCCACCTAACAAGTGCTTGCCAGACCTTAGCTTCCTTCCTCTCTTCCATTCCTACCAACACCTTAACTTAGCCCTTGTTACTTCCTTTCTGTTAAGGTACCTGTGGTAGGCAAAAATGTCAAACTGCCCCACCTGCAAGATTTCTCACCCTAATCTCCAGGGCTGTGAGTATGCAAGGTTACCTGGCAAAGGATGCTAGCTAACGAGCTCATCTAAAGGAGACTATTCAGGTGGGCCTGATCGAACCACATGTGCCCTTTAAAAGCAGTGTTTTCTTTAGCTGGTATCAGAAGAGGAAGTTAGGGTTCAAATTGGAGGTGGGAAGGTGGGGAATGATGCACAGTTGTTTGTTTGAAGATGGAGGGGCCACCTGAAGAGGCCATAAGAGTGGCCTCTAAGGGCTGAGAGCAACCCCCATGGACAGCCAGCAGAAAACTGTGACTTCAATCCTATAACAGCAAGGGACAGAATTCTGCCACCACCTCAATTTCAGTCCTGAGAGGCCATGAGCAAAGAGCTCTGCTGGCCTGTCTGGCCTTCAGACCTACAGAACTGTGAGATGGTGAGTGGGCGCTGTTTCAGCTACCGAATTTGTTGTATGTTGTTACGCAGCAATCGAAAACTAACACAATCTCCTAATTGGGGCCAGAAAGGAAAGATGACATTCAGAGGGGAGAGGCACATCTCCACAATTAACTGTGTATTCTTCACATATTTCTTCCTCCTCTGGAAAGCTTTCTTGGGGCCAGCATTGTGGCGTAGTAGGTTAAGCCTCTGCCTGCAGTGCAGCCATCCCATATGGGTGCCAGTTCATGTCCTAGCTGCTCCTCTTCCTATCCAGCTCTCTGCTTACGGCCTGGAAAGCACAGGAATATCACACAAGTGCTTGGGCCCCTCTACCCACATGGGAGACCTGGAAGAAGCTCCTGGCTTCAGATAGGACCAACTCTGGCTGTTGTGGCAATTTGGGGACTGTACCAGTGGGTGGATGACCCCTATCTCTGTCTGTAACTCTGCCTCTCAAATAAATAAATAAATCTTTTTTAAAAAGAGAAGCAAGCTTTCCCAAGCCTCAGAGCCTTTCCCAACCTTAAAGATCTTCCCGCCTCTGCCTTCCTATGTAATTATCTACCACTCCCTGGGCCCTGTGCAAACACAGCCTGCAACTGGGAATTCTCTGCTGCTCGAGCTGCCTTCTCAACTGGAACGTTAAGTACTTCCAACACAGAAGCCACAACTTGACCTTCTTCATATTCCCCAAAGAACCCAGTACAGGGTCAAGCTGACAATAAATACTAACAAATATCTCTTGATTAAGCCATTTTCTTCATACTCTGATGACCAGCAGGAACAATGATGGTGCCAAGGCTACCTGGCCTCAGGCAGATAGTGAGCCTTTCCTCACAGTTTCACAGCCTCCTGGATTAACAAAGCACCTGTATGGTAATACCCTGTATCCAAAGCCTGGCCTTTCATTAATACTAACCAGGCACGTTTTCAAACACAAGGTGGGCCTCTGCTTCTCTGAATCATGACCTGTTTTTTATGTTTATCTACAACTGGAATTCGCAAACCCAAAGGAAGTAAGAATCAGGGTAATTAAGAAGTTTCACAAATGCATTACCTGTATTTTTTTGGACAACAAATTTATCTTGAATGACTGCCATGTCCAGGCGCCAAAAAATACCCTGGATATGGAGAAATAATCAAAGGGTCACCTGAGCACAGAGATCATGGTAGTCTTGGAAAGCTGTAGACGGAATCTCTTCAAGTCAGAAAGTGAGTGACAACAAAATCAAGTCTTCAGCAGGCAGGCAGTGGGTGGGGTTTGCTTCTGTATCCTACCCTGCCCCTTTGACTTGGGGCCTGACTTCTGTGCCCCACCCTGGACACCAATAACATGCATATGATGTCACCGTCTAGATGTGTAACAGCCTTGGCAAATTTCATCCAGAGCCCTCGAGCAGATTTAAAAATGAGTCCATAGCATTTGCACAGGCCTTTACAGTTTGCAAGGCGCTGTCACATTCATTGTCTCATTTGATCCTTCCGGTAGCCCTAGGAGTTAGGTGGGGTTCAGATTATTATCTCCGTTTTGCAGAGGAGGAAACTGAGGCTCAGGAACCGGAAGTGATTTCCTTAAACTCACCTGGCTTGACGACCAAAAGTCATGCTCTTCTCTGTAATTTTGGATTGAGTCTTTGGGCCTATGCCAGAACTCAAATGGACACTGGCTACTCTTTCAAAGTGATCTTAGTGGCTGATGACGTGCAAACTTTACAGACACGATCGGGAGAGGGGTATCAGGAGGTAATAGGAAAAGTGTAAAAATGCCCAATATCCAAGAAACACTCTGTACTTTCCCATAACCTCACCTCACATTTGTTTTTTTAAGATTTATTTATTTGAAAGAGTTAGAGAGAGGCAGAGGCAGAGAGGCGGCGGGGGGGGGGGGGGGGGCCTCCATCTGCTGGTTCACGCCCCAGATGGCCGCAATGGCTGGAGCTGCACCAATCCAAAGCCAGGAGCCAGGAGCTTCCTCTGGGTCTCCCAGGCAAGTACAGGGGCCCAAGGACTTGAGCCATCTTCTACTGCTTTCCCAGTCTTCAGCAGAGAGCTAGATTGGAAGTGGAGTAGCCGGGACTCGAACTAGAGCCCATATGGGATGCCAGCACTGCAGGCAGCAGGCTTTACCTGCTATGCCACAGCACCAGCCCCAACCTCACATATTTATCATCACATATGATTCACAGAATAAGACAATAAACAAAGCAAATATAATGTTAGCAGAGATTAGATCAGAACTAGTGCCCAACTCTTCTGATTATAAAAGAGAGGAACCACCCTCCTTGACTTGCATTCCCATTTTTTTTTAACATTTATTCATTTATTTGCAAGCCAGAGTTACAGAGACAGAGAGATATCTTCCATCTGCTAGTTTACTCTCCAGATAGCCACAAAGGCTGGGGCTGGGCCAGGCTGAAGCTTAACTCAACCCAGTCTCTCACATGGGTGGCAGGGGCCCAAGTACTTGGGCCATCTTTCGATGCTTTTCCCAGGCCATTATTGGGAACAAGATCTGAAGTGGAACAGCAAGGACACAAACTGTTGCCCATATGGGATGCCAGCATCACAGGCAGCAGCTTTACCTGCTATACCACAGCATGGGCCCCATGTCCATTTTTGTCCTTTTGTTTCTGAAGGGTCAATACTAACAGAAGATTAGACATGAGTGCCCACACAAGTCCTTAAAATGGCTCTTAGGGCTGCGCACTGTGGAGCAGCAGAATAAGCCACCACTTGGGACTCCCCACCCCACACAGGAGTTCCCAGGTTGGCGTCTTTGCAGTGCTTGCTCCAGCTCCCGGCTGATGTGCACCCGGGAGGCAGCAGCTGATGGCTCAAGGAGTTGGGTCCTGCCACCCACCTGGGAGACAGAGCTAGAGTTCCTGGCTCTTGGCTCCTGCCTGATCCAGCCCCAGCTCTTGTGGGCATTTGGGGAGTAAACCAGTGAATGGGCAAGATCTATCTCTCCCTCTCTGTTGATGTGCCTTTCACATAAATAAACTTTAAAAAAAAAATGACTTCTTATCTCACTATGACTTCCTCTGCCAAAAACTACCCATAGACAGCAAGCCCCTCTGCCTCGTTTTAGGATTACTTTTATTCAAAAAAGATATATTTGAAAGGCAGAATGACATAGAAAAAGGGAGAAACATGTGGAGAAAGAGAGATCTTTCATCTACTGGTTCACTCCACAAATGGCTGCAATGGCTAGGTCTGATCCGGGCCAAATCTAGGAGCCTAGAACTCCATCCCAATCTCCCAGGTGGATGACAGGGGCTCAAGTACTTGCGTCATCTTCCTCAGCTTTCCTAGGCACATTACTAGAGTTGGAGCAGAGGAGGAGTACCAGAGCTCAAACCAGCACTCCAATATGGTATGCCAGTGTCACAAGTAGTGGCTTCACTCACTATACC